ATTTAATATTATCAGATATATCATACAGGCCTAGATTTTTCATAATAATAAAATTAACTTAATTTGTTTTTCTTTTTCCTCACTGCCACGTGCCAAGAAAATAGTTGATGAATGAGTAGAAACCACAAATTGACATGTGACCAATAGGCACTTGTTTCTTGTATATAAAAATTCCTTACAAGCTGATAGTGATAGGTCGCAGTATTATATCTCTTTGGAAATATCTTTTAACAAGAACAAAATCTTCATTAATGGGGCCCAGTAATCACTCGGCACTATGTATTACTACCTGCAGCTATGACAATTGCATTGGGCAGCCCCATTGATGCTTTTAATAAATGAGTCAGTTAATTTGGAGGGAGTGGATGAATCGCAAGCCATTGAGTAAAAAAAAAAAAAAAAGTCGCGACTGTGAGGCATAGTGGGTTAAAAAACTTAATTATAGAAATTATAATTAATGTTTCTTTATTATTTTTTTGTAATTATAAAAGTTTAATTTTAAGATTAAATTATCCTTTTGATTATTATTATTATTTTTTATACTTAATAACCTTCCTTTTTTCTTTTGTTACATATATTTAAATTTTTTATTTATTTTTTACTAAATTTTATGTAATTTAATTGAAATACCAATATGAGATTGAGTTTTAATTACAACAATATTATAAAACTAAAATTTGATTTTTGGTTAATATATGAAATCAGAAAAGTCCCCCATTTCTATTTAGGTTTTGCACTAAACATTCTTTTTTTATTTTTTTGTCAAAAAACTTTTGTCTGAGGGGGTGATTTAACATACGAAAAATTAATTGAGTAAGATCTGAAATAAATATTGATTAAAGTGCCCACTAGGCATATTTGAACATATACTTTGTCTCTGATTTTTTATTTTTTATTAAATCAGCTCAAACATGTAAAACCACACCTCATGATCGAGATCCTCACCCTCGTTTCAAACCTCACGCCCCACTCTCGCTTCAAACCTCACTATGGAGATTAATACTTTCATTCATAGTATACAACTTTATTAGAATGTAAATTTCTTAAAGCTTTATTCAAAGTCCAGATCTATTGAGATTTTTAAAGTGGTGGTAGTCCTGTGGTCCCTGTGGTGATTCAAAGCTTTATTCAAAGTGTTACCTTCTGAAATTAAAGCTTATGTTGCTGAATAAATACAATTCATCTTAAAAGTGTTAGTGATGTGCTGATACATATATACTTGTGATGATGAAATCTCTAGTAGTATTAGGCACTAAACCCGAGAACCCTGATCAAATTATCGTCCCTAAAATAACAGTGTGGGTAGACAATTAAAAGTTTGTAGAACAAACAAATAGAGTAGTGTATAATAAGTATAATCATAAATTCAAGTGAAAGTAATGAAAAGAAGTCGAGTCTTCTTTGCACTTGTAGACTAAATAGCTTCTTTAGACTAAATTTGGGGAGACTAAATAGCTTCTGTTGCACTTGTAGTCTCGAGCCGTGTAAAAAGCATAAACAGATACATTTCAACAGTATTGATGAGTATGTTAGGTAAAGCTTCTTTATAAAAGTAAAAATTAATTTTTTGATTTAGAGACGGGGGTGTAAAAGTAAATTTTTTGATAGGACTAGTGGTCTTGCCCTTGAAATTGTACTATAGTGTTGGACTAACTTCTTAGGTACATAGTTGGAGGGAAGAGATTTTGGACTTTAAAGCAAGATTTGTATTAGTCTTTTAGTCCATCATCAGATAAATTGTAAAGTGGTAAATTCTTTGCAAAATTTTATCACAAAGGTCACTTCATTACGTACCATTAATATTGTTACCATCCTATATTAATGAGCAGAAATATAAAAATTGATAAGAAATACATATATCTTGTGTGTATATATTCAATGCGGGTGTATAAATGTGCATAAAAGACAAAATATGGTTAATATAAAATATATCTTTACGTGGGTACTTAAACAGATATTCTTTTTGTTTCATAATTTTCGAAACTGACATTTACAATGAAACAAAAAGAATATTACTTTGCCCATTTTAAACGTTGCTTTCAAAAAATGTGGCTTCGGCGTAAATCATATTTTCCGAAAGTATGAATTTGGAGCCTTTTTTGTCCTGCGTTGTGTCATTGTGCACCTGTCTATATATGTAGTATGTTCTCTGACGCAATTCAAACTATTGCAGGATCCAATCAAATTGATTGTTTGTATTATGAAGAAGGAATCCAATGTTAAAAGAGCAACCCAGCGCATAACAAATGAATTTGATTAACCTGAAGTGTTTGAGATCCACAAACCCTCATTGCAAAGTTGACGTCATATTGAACGCAAACATGATTGACAACTCACTGCAAAGTTTACGTCACACTGAACGCAAACATAATTGACAACTCACTACAAAGTTGACATCACACTGAACCCAAACGTCGTAAAGAAATTATTTAGTTCAGTTTGTGAACTTGTTTGTGACTAAATTGTTGGAAAACCTTTTTTATTATTAAAATATTAATTTAAAAAATTAAATTTGTAATTTATTTGCCTCTGGATGTTGATGCTTTTAATAAATGAGTCATTTAATTTGGAGGGAGTGGGTGAATCGCAACCCATCGAGGAGAAGGAAAAAAAAAAATTGTTGCAGAAAAGATCAGAAACGACCATTGATGCTGCCATCCCAACAAAGAATAATCTAACACCGACCATTGCTGATTTGGTGGGACCCAATGAAAAGATTATATAGATGGTAGTAGAGCTCAGTAGATTCGATTCCATCACGCAATTGAGTTCGAATTCTACTACCGATAATAATACCATCCAGATATCAGATGATCTTATCCGTCATCAAAATAGTACTATTTGTCTTTAGTTTTTTCTTATATGATGATCTCAGAGACAGAGAGAGTTGCAGGTGTAAGGCGATGGGACGTAACACTTCACCACTTTCGCATTTTTTCATCTTTTTATGTGATTGCGTGTCCTTTTTCTAAGTTTATTATTATTAAATAAATAAATTCAAAATACAATGTCATGTGTTTTTAAGAGAGGGAGACCTAAAGTCAAAAAGTTACAACCCATCATGGGCAGCCGTAGATTGTCCAACATCTAGCTGAGGTGGTAAGGAGCTTCACGGGATACTTACATGATTAATTAGTGTGACAAACATATAAAATATAAATATATATATATAATGTGGAGAGATATGTATTATAGATGAGAGAGAGCTACAAACACACAACTAACACACAACTAGAAGAGACAGTCTATGGTCAAAGAGTCAATACATTGATGGTCATGATTATGCCTGCCTGGTTTTACTCATCTTTCTCCGTTTTCTTTAATTTTGTTCTTACTATATATATATATATATATATATATATCAACTTTAAATTCAAATCCTATTTATGTGTTTTCTTTAATTTTGTCTGTTAAATTGAGTTTGTCAAAAATCATCTAAGAATGTCAATAAAAAACTTTCAATTGGATAATAAAATATAAACTGAACTATAAAATTTTACAAGATGGATCAATAAAAAAAAGTTAGGTTGTAAACAATAGAATAGTAACAAAAGGAAAAGGCTGGTGTCAGTGATTCGTCTCGTCAACATATCAAGTACATTTTCAGATCATACAGTGGATTATAGACACAACTATATTGAAGCGATTACAACTTTGTCACACAACTTTCATTTTAACCAACACACTGAATTTTTTTTTAAAAAAAGAAAGAAAGAAATTCATTTAAATCTAACAATAGAACCCAATAAAAAAAGTTTAGAATGACAGTATAATCTCCCTCTTATAATTAATTTACATTCGAATAAATTATGAAAGATGTTGAATATAAGATTAAATTTTCTCTCTTATTTTCACACCAAATTGAGATTATTAATCGCAGCTTGGGTGACCTACTTCATTGTCTTATTGGTGACCATATTAGTAGCTGGAACCAAATTCTTTCTTTGGCTGAATATGCGTACAACAGTTCTGTAACACAAATCCATAGGACACAGCCCCTTTGAAATTGTGACGGGTTTAATGTCCTCAAAAATCAATTGACTTAATGTCTTTACCTAATAGTGACACGCCGTAGTGTTGAAACTGATACCTTTAATAAGCATATCAGAAATATTCATGCGAAAAACAGATTACAATGAATAATGAAACATACGGAACACAAGTTAATTTGTTGTGGCAATAAGATATGTGCACACATCATCATGATAATTATCCATCTCATGGTTTAAATTTGATCTTGGGGGTGGTTTAGAGCTGCATGTCTTATTAGCCAGATGAATCCAACTGAAGTTGTTGCAAATGAAGTCACCTTGAATTCAATATCCCTACTGTCATTTTTTATATGTGTACTTTATATCCGTTTTAAAAATTTTCATTAAAATAATATTATTGTTAATTTGTTGTCCAACTAATCTTGCGTTATCCACTGTGGCTTCCCCCATCTCAATTACTTCATTCGATTGCCGTTGTGCTCTGGCATTCAAATTCTCAAATAAAATATATGTCTTCATATTGGCTATGTTGTTCTCCGTTTTGTCTGTCAAAAGACACAAGGAAACAATTAAAAGAGTGCAAATCATCCCATTTCATATACTAAACCCCAATAAAAATTCAGAAACATGTAAAGTCTAGGTTCTTTGCAAATCAGCAAATGAATTAATAAATAGAAACAAATTCTGAAATTAGAAAATTGATTATATAAATTGAACAAAAATGCTAAAATTGTTTTGATTTGCATGATATCTTCCTTGATGTGTGGAGTGGAGTACCATATTTGCTTGCTTGTTGAAATTTTAAGAGATTGCTTAGAAATGATTGAAAAATGGCAAGGTAATTTTCTTGCAATGCTTGTTTTAAATGTTAGTACCTCTTAAGTGAGAAAGAGCTTGATGGTTGTGAGTATCATTTCTTGAAACCCTCACGAGACTTTACTCGTCCACTAAAAAGTAAACTTTACTCGTCCACTAAGGATAACCTAAGAATTTAAAAGACTTGTTGTATATGCTAAATGCAGCCACATTCCGTACAAAAGAGCCACTATCTTTTTATTGCTTTCTAATTCATAATTGCATAGATGTTCATTTTTTTTTTGTTTTCTTGCCTACAGAGTTCGTGCCTTCATAGGAGCAAGCGTTCTTCCACTTCATATCTCTAACTCACATCCGACCCTGAAAAAACAGAAAGATAAAGATCTTACAATAGTTCCGAGGGTGATGTTTCGCTATATTCTTCTTCTCTTGCAAAAGGAAATTATGTTAATTGCAAAAGGAAATTACACAAAAAAAGATAAAAGCTCTCACAATACACAAGTATCAACGTATCAATTGCAAAAGGAAATTATGTTCTTAGGTCCCTCGTTTAGAAACTAAAGGAGCATGGGTCATATATTCTGCGGAACCCGTTAGCCAAAAAATTAAAATTCTATAGAAATTCTTCCTTAGTTATACATAATTTAAACCCATTGAATATGCCCAAAAACTCATCCACACCTCTCCTGGAAGAACAACAATCAAGAATACCAATCAAGAATCAAAACTCAACTCAAATAACCTATGCAACAGATTAGGACTTAATCTTTGATACTTAAGGTAAACCAATCAAGAATCAAAACTCATTTTTCTTCAACCAAAGTTCAACTAATTGTTACCACTTTATCATAAATGCCCACCATCATCTTTCATTCAATCTCTCTACCAGTATGAGATGTAATACATACATCCATGTAGGCAAACAAATAAAATTCAATGAACTGTTTTCATGCTTGTTAATTTTCCACAATTCATGACCACAATCACCATCATTTAATCACCCCATCAGTATTACATGTCTTAAACATACATATATAAACAAATGAAACCCCATAGTTTATCCGCCAACCTACATAGTTCAGAACTTCAGGGATATTTCAAATTAAAGGAATAAATGGTTTCACATCCAAAAGCCCATGAAAAAATCTTGTCCTAAACGACCATGTACCAATGTCAAAGACCACAAAACAAAATTTCCAAGCAAATTGATAACAGCAATATGTCAAGTCAATTGTAATATGAAATATTTCCCATGATACTAAGCAGTAGTGAAACAAATAATAATACAGTTATGGTAGTCAAGGTCAGATTATCAAGCCACAACAACAAATCTAAAGTAAATAAAGTAAGAAGTCGCAATCAAAAGATATTCCACAGGCAATATTTCAGAGTAGGATAAGAAAGATAGAACTACAAACTCATGATTACTTGTAAGAGCAAATTGAATAAAAGTAAAACGTTAAGCAGGGATGGAGATGAGGCCTTTAAAACTGTTTTACAGTTACACAATATGATTTTACCAACACCTAAATTCAGAATAGCACACCATAAAAACATCATTTATTATGGGATAGAAACAGTCGGAAGAACCCCAAGTCATAATGTATGACCACATTTGATCTTTCACTCCATCTAAACAACCAAGCTAGATATTATATTTTATGTAACTATAAGAAAAAAGTTAAATTCACCAAACAATAATTAAGCTGTTCCTTCAATTACATCACAAAATATTTTCAAAATATAAAGGACCACAATAGAAAAGAGGGACAAAGAAGGGGGGGAAGAAGAGAGAGATCTAATAAATTTTAGATTTCAAAAAAAAAAAATCTCATTAAAGACTAATTAGGCTAATTAATCAATTTTAATCAAGCATTTTAATAAATATAACACCATGAGCAAAAAAATGGAACATTTATGGGAACTGTACAATTCCAAAGTTCCAACATATTAAGAAAACCAACAATAACCTAAGATCCAGCAAAATTAATCATAGCAATTGCAAACTACTACTATTATTAATAATGATTATTATATTATCAAGTTGTTGTTGCATGACAATGCGCCCTATGCAAGAACCGCAAATTGCTAACCAAATATTTATGATGTCACCTTGGGGTTGGGTATGTAAACTTCTTATTATCATTAAACTCTAATTAGTGTCATATCCCATGATAAACCACATGCGGTTGTTCCTTCCCTATTTCTTTTGCCAACATTCTATCTAAACCTACCTTTTTCTTTTATTACCTTCAACTTGAACTAAATCAAATCTCCCTGCTGGTTCAGTCAATAAATCTTCCCTCAAGTGGAAAACAATCTAACCTTCAATAACAGGGCAACACTGTTTCAGACAATTAATCAATGCTACAGGAGCTCTCCAATTAATCAATCATTAATTCAATATTTTATGTATTGTCAAATGCTTTCACTCCACCTAAAGACGTCCCTTCCTTAATATGCCCAACAAACTCATCCACACCTCCCCTGGGCGAACAACCGAGAAAAATGCATTTCCCCCTCCCCAACCCAACGTGGCTATTGACCAGATTTGTCTATCAACCTGACCAACTTGGGTAACCAATGCATAAGATTAGGATATAATCTTAATACTTCAGGTAAACATATCAAGAATCAAAACCGCATTCTTTGCTCAACCAACAGTTCCGCTGCTTGTTAACTGTCCACCATGATCTTCATTCAATCACACTCTACTGATGTTACACGTATTACGTACATCCATGCAGGCAAGCAAATAAATCTTGTATTTCATTCAATGAAATGTTTTCCGCTTGTCAATTTCCAAAATGCATATCTGCAATCACCATCATTGAATCACCCAATCAGTAATCAGTAATCAGTATTACATGTCTTAAGCATGTATACGTATATACACACACAGGTACGCAAATGAAACCATTTGATCACCCAATCAGAAATCAGTATTACATGCCTTAAGCATGTATACATATATATATATATACACACAGGTAGGCAAATGAAACCTCATAGTTGATCCGCTATCCTACATAGTCAGGGATATTTCAAATTAAAGGAATAAATGGGTCCACATCCAAAAACCCATGAAAAAATCTTGTCCTGAACCACCATGTTACCAATGTCAAAGACAACAAAACAAAATTTCCAGATCAAGCAATTGATAACAGCAATATGTCAAAGCCAATTGTAATATGAAATATTTCCCATGATACTGAGTAAACAGCAGTGAAACAAATACTGCAATTATAGTAGTCAAGATCAGATTATCAAGCCACAACAACAAATCTAAAGTCATTAAAATAAGTCAAACTCATAATTACTTAAAGTTACCAACCAGACTCCTACAAACACAAATGCAACAATTAACCTAGCGTTCCTGTCTCTAGGGATCATCAACCAAAAACCACCATAAATTACCTGATCAGAAATCTAATGCTCTGCTGATTTAAGCGCTGCCAGCGCAAGTTTGGTCTGCTCACGAACCAACTCTACCCTCTTCAAGTTTGGTCTGCTTGTTAGCACTTCATCACATGTCCACCATGATTGCGAGTGGTACATATAAAACTCACAACAAATATATACCCGATGTAGAATTCAGATTAAATTTAATATTCTTATTACCATTTTCAATACATGTAACAACAAATATATAACTCGTATTGAAAATGGTAATAGAAATATTGGATTTAAATCACTCTGTAGCGCTCTAAACTCTGCTTCTGCTGCCAATAGGCCCTGAATGAGATTGCCATTCAATGTTTCAAATGAAATATAAGTTTCAACATTGGAAATGACTTTGATTCTCCATTTTTCCTGTCAAAAGTCACATTAGCAAATCATTAAAAGAGTGCAAATCATCCCATTTCATATACTAAAACCCCAATAAAAATTCAAAAACATGTAAAAAAACTATGTTCTTCGCAAATCAGCAAATGAATTAATTAAAAAAAAAAAAATCTGAAACAGAAAATTGATTATATAAACTAAACAAGCAATATGAACTTCAGATGCAACTATTTCAACCATATATAAACTGAACAAGCAATATGAAAAAAGACATGATAGAACTGAAAAAATTAAGTGTACTGATGTTAGCAGCTATTGATCCTGTAATACACTCAATCTTCCGATAGACAGCTGCTCAGGTTTTGACATGTCAACAAAAGTTGAATTACAAAGTACATATATATATATATATAGTCCGGTTGATTTTGATTTTCGATCATAAAATTAAGTTACTGCATACACCAACCCACTTACTGAGCAGTTTATTTTAACCTTTTTTTTTTTTTTTTTTTGACAAGTGACAGAAAATTGTGTTTAATGAAAGAAATTAAATACTCCTAACTCTAATTGTTTCTGTCACCAACCCACTTCATGTTTGTTTGCAAGTTCATAACTACTCAAATTTTCTGAAGCAACCAATGGAAGAAGTTCCAAGTTAGATACCAAGAAATGGAAAATCGACCTAAACCAATCTTTGAACACAAAATCCAACAAAACAAAAAAAAAAACACACACAACCGAAGAATGCTTGTAAACACACTACCACTAGCATGGACCATTTTAGGGTGGTTTCAGAGGACTTACACAAAATCTAATCCTGAGCTTCTTCTTCAAAATCTCCGGTCAGTATTGTGGGATTTTTGGTTACTGGTGTGGTGAAAAATATTGCCTCGTCGTTTCCCATTTTGCTTGTTCTGGTTCTGAAGGATGCGTTGTATATATAGAGTATGGAGGGGGAGACTGGAGGGAGAGAGGTCGAGAGAGAGTGTGGATTGGAATCCAAAGGGTGCCATCAGGTTGCAATTGATCGTGAATTGTACGATAAAACCATCCAAATCTCTAATGATCCTAGCCGTTCATCAAACTATAAGTACTATTTGCCTTTATTTTTTCTGATGTGACGATATCACAGAATTTATCACTCTTAGTTGGGAAATGTAAGTGGGAGAAATGGGTCCGGTTAGTGCACTTATGGTATAATCACGTTTGGTGATGGCGATGAAAAGCAAGTAATGATAGACCTAACGTGTCACACCCCAAATTTTTAACGCAAAGATTCTTTGTCTTTTATGTAAAATCATGTATAACTTTCATCAATTCTTCACGTGCATTCATTATAGAATATAACTATAATGAATCTGAATCATCTAATTTATTAAACAGAGTGTTTGACAAACATATATCAAATTGATAAAGAGAGATAAAATTTCCTCTAACGTAACAAAATATCTATGACTACTTAATTAACTCGATAAAATTTTATAAAATATTAACTTTATTATAATAATCATAATAAATAAAAACCGAGATAAAATAAATTAATGTGCAACGAGTTAAAATCTGTTCCCGTCATGTGTCTTCATCGCGTTCCTATTCTACGAACACCTGAAATGTAATAATGGGATGAACTCACAAGCTCAGTAAGAAATGCTAAACACAATTATCGTTCAACAAGCTAATATTACCTTATATTCCCATATATATAAGCTACTCAATAAATGTATTAATTAAATATGCATATCCAGTTAATTATGAACTCTACAATAACCATCATTTATTTTTAATAAATTCACATATCTCACATGAGCCCCGAGCTCCCATCCAATAAAGTGGTGTGACTCGTATAGTCTCTGACTACTGAAAACACACGTGTGGCTGGATTGTACGTCTACTCCCCAGATGATCCCTGATCACGTCCGCACAATAAGGGCTCATTAAACCCATGGCCATAATAAAAGGGTAATGCACTCCCAATTAGGCAGGTTCCTGACCATACCTAAAAGTCATCATAGGGTCAGTCCCTGACTACCCGACTAATCCAAACTCATCCATTAATTATTAAATATGGTGAATTATGAAAGACATTATTAATTAATAATTCAAATTAATTACTATAGCACCAAAATACATATTTAATTCAAAAACAGAACTCTAATGACCCAATCACTGAGAGTACAAAAATTCCAGACATAGCCTAATATTAAATATGACTCCCTGCGAAATTCAGAATCTAACTCTTAATATCCTTTTCGTACTCTCTGTTTTAGTGCTGAAAATAATACTTTTTCGGGTTTTAATTTCGTAAAACTATCCAACAGTCATATAACAATCTGTATTTCAGCACAACTAAGTTCAGTGCACTTAAAACTAATATCCTAGAATTCTTTCTCAATTATTGGGATAACAATACTATTTTTTCTAATTTTTTTTAGTTTAAAAATCAATTAAAAAAATAATCATTAAATCAAAAGAATATGATCTTATATTGCACACGGAACCCAATCCGTTTCCAATGTCCGGTATGAAACCCAGGTCATTCACTAAACAAATTATGAACAAAAAAACAATATTAACATGCAATCTAACCCATCATAGATGTGTAGTCAAATCATTTTAAACAAGTAAACATATGTATAACATATGCCATTGTTGTACACATTACCCAACACCTCCACTTGATTAACACGAATCAATGTAACCTCTGAAAAAAATCCATTATGTATATATATCATAACAGATGGATAAGGTTCTTAGAATTAATTTTCGCAAGTTCATATATAAACACACATATATATATGAATCACAACCAATAACAACAATGAATTAGATTAATATTAAATCATATATAATCCAAAGAGTCCTAAATCTAATTATTAATTATATAACCACATACTGAGTCACTTATGTACCTTCATACATTCAACTTAATTACTGCAATACAGTATTGCTAACAAAAAATTCTATAATCATATATATACCATCCTATCAGGAAATAAAATAACTAAAGGAATACATGTTTTAAAATTGATGTTTTCAAACAATACCCATTTGTCAATCTAAGATTATTTATCGTTAAAATGATCTCTAGTAATTCAACAGAGGATGCTAAAATAATATACATAAATTAAGATTCAACATTGACAAATCTAAACTAAATTTATTTTCAATAAATTCATATGATATAAAACCTTAAATAATATGCCTATCAAGTCACAAATATACTATAAGATTACAAAACAAGATTAACTTGTCTGGATATAATTAATTCTTCTTTTCTATGCGAATGCTCGATTATCGTTCCTTCCCTCAGCTACTGCAGAAAGACACGACGTCGGATCACTCTCTCTGGGTCTCCGTCCTATCACGCTAAGAGTTATAGAGATATAGGGAGTCAGGTGAGATAATATAGCGATTTAATTTTTTTTAAAATTTAAATTAGTTAACCAACTCTATCACAATATCCTGTTTAAATTCAAACAGAGATAACAATTAAATTAAATTAAATTAATAAATATATATATATATGATATATATATATTTTTTACACGGGTCTTACATAACACTTCACCATTTTTTTCATCTTTTTAAGTGATTGTGTGCCTTTTCTCTAAGTTGTTTATTATTATTATGGTGTATTATTAAATAAATAAATTTAAAATACAAAGTCTTTTTTTTTTTTTTAGCACAGGGATACCTTAAGTCAAAAAGTTACCAACCCCATCATTAGTTATGGTATATTTACAATGTCCAACAAGATATTAAAATATTAGGAATTGGGTGGTTGAAAGATGGACTTTGTTTGGTGTTTTTTTTTTTAAAACCCCAATTGACGGCTAAATTTATAAAAGTGTCATACATGACATTAGAAGTTCGAGCCTCGATAAAGAGACTAACAAAAGTAAAATCAGAGGTTGAAACCTCAATAAAAATATGTATATATAAAATAAAATAAAAATACAAAATAAGAATATTATATATTTTTCTTCTATTACAAACTACGGGTATTATTATTAGGATAATATTTAAATTTTCATTAGTGAAGATTTACAACATACTCATTATTGATGTGCACTAATAATAAATGGATATATGATATTTAATTACCAAATCAAAAATAGTAGGTATATATATTCATTTATCAAATCCGAGATGGTGATTTAATTACTATTTATGATTTGGTAATTAAAATAGGACGTATTCATTTATTATTGATCCACATTAGCGGTTAGAATGTTGTAAATTTTCACTAGTAAGGACCTAAGTATTATTCTTGTTATTATTAATTTGTGACTATTTGATTTGCATCATAAAATTAAAAAGTAATTTATAACAAATAACTAAAAAGAAAAAAAAAAAAACATTGGATGAAAAAACTTTTGATATTTTTAGCATAAAGAATACATTTAATATATATGCAAATTGAGTCAATTGTGTTGACTTTCTCATAAATGATAAAACGCAAATTTGGTGCACATGTATATACTCCATCTGTCCCAATTTAAATGTCATTTTTGGGAAGTAAGAATTTTTAAGGAACATGTCTTGTCTTCCTGAAATTTTTTATTAAATTATTCTTATATTCAAGTTTGAAATTTTAACAAAAGTGACTAACAAAAGTGAGATTAGAGGTTCAGTCTCAATAAAGAGACTAACAAAAGTGAGATCAGATTATCGAATATCAATAAAGACATGTATTTATAAATATATTAATTTTAAAAACAAACAAAATAAGAAAGTTATATTTTTTTCTTGTGTTACAAACGGATATTGTTATTATTAATTTGTGGCTATTTGATTTGCGTCATAAAATTAAAATGTAATTTATGACACATAACTAGAAGGGAAAAAAACAACATAGGACAAGAAAACTTTTAATATACATGCAAATTGAGTTAATTGTGTTCACTTTCCCATAAATGATAAAACACAAATTTGGTACACATGTATATACTCCTCTGTTTCAATTTAGATGTCACTTTTGGAAAATAGAAAATTTTAAGACATTATCCTTTTCATATTTTGAGACATTATCTTTATTATCTATAAATTATCTATAAATTAAATAATTTTTAAAAACTAACTGATACCTTTTAATTTTATATATACTCGTAGATATTTATACTCCCGCCGTCCCACATTAGAGGTCTATTTTTAGAAATTGAAATTTTTAAGGGGACATGCATTTAATGTATTGTTCTTTTTTAAAATTACCAATTTGTCCCTTCTAATTTAAATATATATAGTTATAAAGTTTGAAATTTTTTAAAAAGATAAAGAACAACGATAAAAATATAGAATTTATTGCTTTGACTTTTCAAAGAGCACAATTAATTTGGGACATGTAAAAATAGAATAATAGACTATTAATATGGAAGGGTGGGAATAACTTTTTTTTTTTTTTTTTGGCCCAGCAAAAAAAAGGACCATAGGACATCTGCAGGCAAGAAAAAACAATTACACACAAAAAAAAAAAAAAAAAAAAAAAAAAAAAAAACATAAACAGTCACGTAACCAACCAAAATTAACTAACACTTTTTATTATTAAGACTAGAGTCTTCACAATTTAGGAAAAAGTGTCGGGAAGACCATCACCACAAAAGGAAGATTGCACCGCCATATCTAAAAGTCTAACGTACTAAAAAGCTTGTCCCACCAGAACTAGCACCACTACGCCAATTCAGAAGGCGTATCCACTACTTTTGTAATGACCCGGTCATTTTTTTTCCTTTCATTTTCTCAGATTTTCACGGATATTTTTTTTCCGTTGATCTTTTTCTTTCTGAGTTCGGTTTCTCGTCACTTAGTGTCATCTTGAGTGCTCGGGGATGGTTTCCGAAACTCTTTTCCATGGATTGACGACTTCCTTTGAGGACTGAGTTATTTTCACATTTTTACTTTTGTGACATTATTCACCTTTCGTCTTTTTCTCGGTTGTCACTTTGTTGGCATAACCTCACTTTTCGTGTTCGGATTTGATTCCAGTTTT